GGGAGTTCCTTGTTGCTTATTCCTCCTTGCCATCCATCTGGTCTACAGTATTGAGCCCAAGAAAGGGAGATAGATGTCAATAAATTCTGGGTCCTGTTGGAAATATTTTACATGACACACACACACGCTATGATTCGGACCGATTAGAATAAATAACTGACTTAAGATTTGTGTTGGAATCCCGAATTTCATCGTTTATGCTGAATGCAGAAGAAACTGAATTCCAATATGGATAGCATTAATAGGAGACAGAGATTATCTGAAAAATGTGATGTATTGGCGCTATACATTTCGAACGATCTGATCTCCAACACATTCATTTGTCAAGTCGATATATATATGAAAAAGTTAAATTAAATAAACTGACAAAAAAAGGATTTAAGAATGATGAACACAACGTTTGGCAATCGAAGCAAATAATAATTACCATAGTAGGTGAGGAGTCCATTAGGACCTTTGTTATCGGACGTTTACATGTCTTACGTTGGGAACTTGTCCCTTGATATAATTTCTAAATTGTTCTTCTATAGGAGATATGTAGATGGTATCATTTTGATTTGCAATGATCATGAAGATGTGAGTCATCTATTGGACAGACTTAACTCTGTACAGAATCATATTAGTTTTACATGCGAGGAAGAAAGTCGCATCCAGCTAGCAGTTTTAGACATACTTCTGAGTCGAAGAGATGATGGTTCAATAAGACAATCAATCTACAGAAAGCAGACTTGGAAAGAGCAATACCTTAATTTTCACAGTTTCTGTCCATTACATTATGAGACAGGCTTGGTGAAATGTCTATTCCCGAGGATTGAACATATTTGCATGGCTGATTTCATAAACAAAGAAAACGAAATATTTCAGGACTGCATCATCAGCTGACATTAGTTACAGAACCATTGGAAAACCAGCTGGGAGTACTAGACAGCTGTTTCGTCCTAGTTTGGGACTCTTCAGCAGTACGCACCCACTGGGACTCGAACCCAGGACCCTCCGGTTACAAGTCTAGCGACCTCGTAGACCACTGAGCCACTGGGACCTGATTCAATGGTCTTTGAATTCTAACTTCTACCAATTCACGATATAGCCCAATCGCTAACCAGTGTCTTCTGTGGCGAGTATTTGTCCTCATATCCGACCCGCTGCACCCTACTGGTCACGAGTTCCCACTGGAACTCAGGTAACTACCTACCTGAAAACGGCCAGTCGCCAGTGAGCATCTCATTGGTATTCAAGTGTTAGTTTGTAGGGATGGATATTGATGGATACCCTTGCTGAAAATAGATATCCTTTAAAATTTTTAAACAGGTGTAGAAGTCAACTAGCCTCTAATAAATACAATCCATACCGCCGCTAAGAAAAAGGTTTTCATCAAATTACCATACAATGGGGAAATCTGTCTGTCTGTTTTCGACATAAAACTTTGCACAAATGTGCGGCAGTTCAAGTCGCCACATTCCGTGTAGCACGCGAAGCAAGAGAAGAAAGTACAAGAAAAGCATAATAGAAACAGTGAGCAGAGGTGTGAGACAAAGGAGTAATAAAGAAATACAAAACAGGCGATGACTAGGGCTGCATACGTAACACATGTCCTAACCATCTCAGTCTTTGTAACTTCGCGACTTCGTCGATTGATTTCCCCTGTTTACCTAGAACTCAACGCCTAACCTCAATGTTGCTCTCCTTATTATACCACTTTACACGGGAAATAGAACGCAGGCACCTATGATCAAAGACAGCTAGCCAGCATTTCATGTCTTCCACTCTCAGTGGCCAGGTCTCACAGCAGGCCATAAAGGAGGACGGAGCGGACTGATGAGCAGTACACCCGCCCTTTGGTCGATGATAGTCGAACATCTCGTCTACGCCAGAGTCGGCGTAAACTAACAAATGCGAAACGAGCCCCTTGTATTCGTGCTGAAATTTCGTCAGAGATGATGATAGGAGTTTGAGACAAAGGTGGAATTCGATCATCCGTAGAACCTTGTATGCAGCCCAGCTCGTAATTGTCGAAAAAGCTAAAAATGTGACCCACTGCAAACCTCAAAAGTGCACAAGTGATTATGTCACATCGCACGCTGTATACCAACTTTAGTGTGTGTGCGTGTGGTCACACATACATAGGGAGGAGTAATCGCGCTTTGCATGCAGGGGTGTGGGAGCATATCCCAAAATGGCTAGAAAAACAAATGAATTGTGAAAAACCCAATAGATGCAGGTGTCAGACTACCAACTTCGTCTATAGCTAAACATCTAATTGAGATGAACCATAATACTGATGATAACTTAGCCCTTAAGGTCATCTATAAAAACGGTCAAGGGCGCTTACTGAAATACGCTGAGGCTATAGCTATTCATAAACTTAAGCCCCCACTCCCATATGTGTATTCAAAAGCAGTTTGTTATTACTCTTAACCCACCTACCTTGGTAATCCTTATTTGCTTGGATTACCCAGCATTGTGTTAATCATTCTTAAATCCTTTTTTGTCACTTTGTTTAAATTAACATTTTCATATATATATATCGACTTGACAAGTAAGTGTGTGAGGGATCAGACTGTTCGAAATACATCCCATTTTTCAGATAATCTCTGTCTTCTAATAACGCTATCTGAATTTATAAAACGGACTAGTTGTTTTAAACATTCTGAATACTTGTTTTGACATCCTCACCGATGCCGCCTGTTTGTGGTTGAAGCAATGCTTCCTAGATAAGTGAAGAATGTAATCTCTTTCAAATTTCTGGCACCGATTGAGATCTGTGCTTGTTGTTGTTGTTGTCGGTTTCTTTTATCACCTTCAACTTATTTATGTCCACACTTGGAGTCCAATCTGCTTTGCTTCTTCTCCCGTCTTGTTAGTTTCCGCCTGTAAATTGTCAAGTCTGTTTGACATTAGACATTATTCTTCAGCAAAGTTCGCATTCTCTGCATCTTTCTAATCAGCTCAGCGTGCAATACACACGCATGATTGTCTGCTTGGATCGATGACACACATCCAAGCTACACTAGTTCTCACTGTATCTCATGATAATGTTGCCTGTAGTACAGATACACTAGTTTAACCATCGGTCTCAAGCCCGATGAAAAAAAAGAAAACGTGGCCTGGACTAGTGAATGAATATAGTCCACAAAATCAATCCAATGACTATACAAACTTCAAAGCGTATGACAAGCATTCTTAGCTAGAATGGAAGAGTCAGTGACGCTGACTGGTGAAAGCCTTCAGTAAGCCAGTCCACCAATGTGCCTTCCTTCAATAAGTCATACAACAAGGAATTTCGACAGACAATGAACTAAGCAGGAATTTTTCGCCGAACAAATATACAGAGGAAAGTAGAGATAGGTCTGACATATAATGTACAGACAGTAAAGTGATATCAAATGCTGAGTAGGCCATCGAGTGGAGACCACGTGGAAAACGATGAGTTCGATGTTTTTCTGTGCATAACATACACGAGACAGTGTTAGCCGGAGGTGAAATCTTCCAGGCAATCGTGTAGACAGCTACAAAGGAATTCAGAGAACAGGGGGAATTAGAGGAGGACTATTGAAGCTCTGGATTTCCCTCCAAACCCTGGATGCATAATAATAATAATAATAATTTACTTTATTCCAAAAACAGTACTTATAATACAGAGTGGAATTCTCAGCATTTGTCACGAAATTGCATCTGATTTACTCAAAATATAAATAAAATTTAAAATTAAGACAAAAGTAACCAGAGGAATTTGTCCACGTTTACGATATAAGGTCGAAAATATTCGAAGCATGAATTGAAAATATTAAATATAATAATAATAACAGTGAGTTCGTTTCAAACAGTTTCGTCGATTCAGTTTGGAAATTTTAGCATGTTACTATAGAGTATTGAATCTAATGTTCTGTTGATATAGCAGCATGGTGAGGAGAAATAAAAAATTAACAGTTATAACACAGCTTAAATGATGTTCACACTTATGAGAAGATTATGAATATAAGAAATACAATTACAATAAAGTTTGATGTTTTAAGAGTGGAGGAATTGGTTTATTTAGTAGTGCTAAGAAGGTTAGTTAGTTCTTGCCTGACACTATTTTCATCACATAGATATAGTATTGGGTAGAATGTTTATACTTAGACGTACATGCATAAAGTCTTCTTAAACAACTTCTTGTTTTACCTGAGGAGACACAAGGTTGGAGCTGCGAGTAGAGTGGATGCTCACAGTCCGACTAAATTCCTTTAGAAAATTTGTTACATGACATCAAGTGCCTATCGATGATGACCTCATCGATATCGCCCATTGGGATGCCACTTAACCTACTGATTGATAGTCTTCAGAGTTCTACAAAGTATGACATAGTCTTTTTTAAGCAATCCAGGAGAGAATAAGCAAGGGTGAACAGTAAAGAAGAATAGGTAAAATACACGAGTTGACAAACTGGAAGAGTAGTGGTTAGGCTATACCTGATTGCATGATTCTTTGACAGAGATCACTATGACGTAAAGAAATATGATCTGCTTATACGTTTTTAACCTATTGTATTCTCAAAAGAATGGTTACTGAACAAAGAGTACCCTTCATCATCAGGCTCAACAGTGATGTATACATTATAGTGAATGAATGAATTAGTGTTATGAACGACATTGATGTTTAAATAACATCAAATCAATAATATCAATAGATTACAGCTGAATAGCATCAACATAAAATAAGCTGAATGTCAGAAGAATTAGGAAGGATAATAATACAAATTCATGAGTTTATAGCTTCTACTGAAGGCCAGGGCAATAGTAGGAGCTGGCTGAACTTGCTTCTTTTGGACACAGAGTGCTGGTTGTTTGAGGCGAATCACAATAGCCTCTGCTATAATGTATGTATAAATTTAGAGCCTGATGATGAATTTATCGAAAAGAGTACTCTTTGTTCAGTATCCATTCTGTGGAAAATTTTAATGGGCATTTTTAATCAGTTACTGTATTCCCTCCCCTGTTTCTTTTTTCAAAATCTATCCACAGATCTTCGATATCAACAATTCAGTGCCAGTGAATCAATACAAGATGGAATCAGTGCGCCAGTCCACTATTCACCGATCAGTCATCCTTTTGTACATAATATTTCTACAGATTATGTAACAGAGAATCATTATCCAACTTTAGCGCCAACAACAGAATCAATTTAATCAAAACAAGATTATTATTATTATTACAACTAATATGATTACAATTTTTCCCAACCTCATTAATACTCAGATTATAAATTTATCCGTTTTCAGAATGTTGAATAATTAATTTTATTCCAGAAAACTGTCTTTTGCTTTCCTAATGATACTGGTTAAATAACGAAGCAAATAGAAATGAGTAGTGGTGATACTCTTCAGCCGGTGGAGGTGAGTGGAATCTTCGGTATTCCCTATTTGAGGATACATAGAACAATCCAGAATCTTCAAGCATTGGTTTGTAGAGATTTGGTTGATTGATTACAGGAGTTCATCATGAGCTGACGTTGGTTAGAGAACCATTGGAAAACAAACAGAGAGTGCTGGACAGCTGTTTCGTCCCAGTTTGGTACTCTTCATCAGTACGCACCTGCCCCTCTGGGGACCGAACTCAGGACCTTCTGGTTACAAAGCGAGCTCGTATACCATTAGGCCACTGGAACCCGATTCAATGGCCAGTCCATGAATTCCAACTTCTACCAATTCACGATATAGCCCAATCGCTAGCCAGTGTCTTCTGTGGCGAGTATTTGTCCTCACACTCGACTTGCTGCACTCTACTGGTCACGACTTCCAACTGGAACCCCAGGTAACTACCCCTCTGAATAGAGCCAGTTACCAGTGAGCATCTCATTGGTATTCTTGTATTCGCCTTGTAACCAGAAGGTCCTGGGTTCGAACCCCCGTGGGTGCGTACTTCAAATTGTATCTGTCAATTCAACTGCGCTTGTGAAGCCAGTCATATTGACCGTTGCTCTATGAACTTGATTTTTCGTGCTTGCTCGAGAACATCTCCCAGCATGGCTAATTAAAGGTATAGTGAAAACTATTAACAGTTCGATAATGGAACATCTGGTGCAAACAGGCCACAAAGCCAGCGTAGATGAAAGCTTCTCTATATTATACCGGGTACCAAATAAATTACCAAAAACATCGAAGCACCGCAGGCTCCAAACAGCAGGGGCTATTGCGATTCGCCTCAAACAACCAGCACTCTGTGTCCAAAAGAAGCAAGTTCAGCCAGCTCCTACTATTGCCCTGGCCTTCAGTAGAAGCTATAAACTCATGAATTTGTATTATTATCCTTCCTAATTCTTCTGACATTCAGCTTATTTTATGTTGATGCTATTCAGCTGTAATCTATTGATATTATTGATTTGATGTTATTTAAACAGCAACATTAATGTTGTTGTGCGTCGGTGGCACAGGGGTTAGGACTCTCGCCGACCATGCACATGGTCCGGGTTTCGAGCCCACGCCGGCGCACACCTGATATCTATGGTCGGCCTGCAAAATTTGGGCTACCGATATCCACGCTGAAAATTCCATACTTGTACCAAAAATACAGTGTGGAATAAAGCTGTAAATTAAAAATAAAAAAAATAAAAATAATTCATTCATTTTTAGTGCACATTGTACCTTTGAATTTTTGTTTAAACTGACTCACCCACGGTGATCCACGTTTTACCTTTTGAGTTGTGAGTCTTCCGTACGTTCATTGGTTCGCTCTCTTGTTGTGCTCTCTTTCTGCACACTCTCCGAGCCTACCTCCAGTAACGTCTGCAGCTAAGTTGTACAGTCACTTTATTTATTAAATCTGTTATTTAGTTACGTTAAATACAACTCATACTAAGAATTCTTTCCATTGTTAGCTTTTAAACTTTGATTGAGTTAATCAGTACTTACACGTTAGGTAGAGTACTCGTAAAGTCATAAGACGGTGAAGTTTTTAGTAAGTGTGGTGATATCGAAGACTATCTTAAGTCTAGCTTCAACACTTACAAGTGGTGAGCCCAAAAAAACCGTTTTCCACCATAGCTTAACGTGTTAACAATTCTTTTTACGTACCGTTTATTTTGTTATTTTTTTTCTTTCACGCACGGTTATAAAGATTTGATTTGTTTTCTTTGTACTTATATTGGTTTTTTATCACCTTGTTAATATTTTGTTTTGTGTGCAAGATGGCTGACAACGGTTCTGCGTCAGAGATGGCTATAACGCTGCAACTCCCCGCCTTCTGGACACATCGTCCAGCTGCATGGTTTAATCATATAGAGGCTCAGTTTGCCATTAGACACATACACTCACAAGAGACCAAAGTAAACCACGTGATTGTGAGCCTACCTGAAAGTGTCATAGACGAGGTGGCTGACGTTCTCGCAGATCCGTCTCCGGATCGGTACGAGCGGCTCAAACAGGCGTTAATTCAACGAGTCGCACTTACTGACCAACAGAAAGTGCAGGAACTTTTCCGCGATGTTCAGTTAGGTGACCGCAAGCCCTCACAAATGTTGAGGCAGATGAAGCAGCTAGTGGCGGACTTTAAAATTGACGAGGTTTTTCTCAAACAACTTTGGCTTCAAAGATTACCTCAGGCAGTCCAGGGTATCTTAGCACCGATCTACAAGTACCCCTTACAGGAGATAGCCGAGGCAGCTGATAGAGCCGTAGAGGCCATCAATCCCAAAATTGGCATTTCCGCAACAGTAACTGCTGCTTCCGCTCAGACTAAAGATTCGTCTGACGGGGGGTCATCAAGCTTTGACGCGGTGGCCCATATAGCCAAGCTATACGAGGAGATCTGTAGTATACGACAGGAGATGAACTCCAGGAGTCGTGCACGCAGTCCCTCGAGTTCGCGTAGTAGTAGACCCTTGTCACGTGCTAGCAGCAAGCGCCGACAGTCCCGAAGTAACCAGCCTGGAGTGTGCTGGTATCATCGACGTTACGGAGCAAAAGCCCAAAAGTGCACTCGCCCGTGCACCTTCGATGTTCAACAATCGGGAAACTAGCAAGCCAGCACGTACTGGCGACTAACGTCGCTGGCGAACCACTCTCATGTCGCCTCTTCTATGTTACCGACCGTAACACTGGGATACGCTTCCTAATTGATACCGGAGCAGAGGTCAGTGTAATCCCACCCACAGTAGAGGAGCGCAGGCGGCCAATGTCTCTTCAACTACGAGCCGCAAACGGTTCGCCAATTGCTACGTTCGGCAGGCGCTTTATAGATCTTAACATCGGTTTGCGTCGTTCACTTCGTTGGGTCTTCCTGGTGGCAGACGTTACCACAGGTATAATTGGCATGGATCTATTGCAGCACTACCAATTACTGGTAGATACAGGTAATCATAAGTTAAGAGATCCTGTCACAAACCTCTCCGTCAGCGGTATCGTCACACAAGGCCCAGCCCTCAGCCCTGTATATGCCACACCCACTAGCACTGGTCCTTATTCGCATATACTGCAGTCTTTTTCAGATTTGTTCAAACCTAGCAGCGGCCTGCCATGTGCGACTTCCAACGTCACACACCATATTGTCACTACTGGCCCGCCAGTTTTCGCAAAGCCGAGGCGACTATCCCCAGAAAAACTAAAGGTTGTCAAAGCGGAGTTTGAGCATATGCTAGAAATGGGGATTATTAGGCCATCCAGCAGCCCGTGGTCCTCACCGTTGCACCTGGTACCTAAGAATAACGGTTTAGATTGGCGTCCTTGTGGCGACTACCGCAGACTAAACGCACAAACTGTTCCCGATCGCTACCCTGTCCCTCACATACACGATTTAACCGCCTCACTCAAGGGAGCTCGAGTATTCAGCAAACTGGACCTTACACGGGCTTACTACCAGATTCCCGTCGACCCCGAGGATATACCTAAGACTGCTGTGATTACACCGTTTGGCCTGTTCGAGTTTCTTCGAATGCCTTTTGGCTTACGGAACGCTGCCCAAACCTTCCAGCGTTTTATACATGACGTTTTGCGCGGGCTTGATTTCGCCTTTGCCTATCTGGACGATATCTTGGTAGCTAGTCCAGATGAAGCCACTCATCAACTTCATTTGCAGACAGTTTTCCGAAGACTTGTGACACACTCCCTCACACTCAACTTGCCGAAGTGTCAGATTGGAGTCACTTCCCTGAATTTTTTGGGACATAGGATAGACAAAGATGGAATTTATCCGTTACCTGACCGGGTAGAAGCTATTCAAAACTTCCCTCTACCCACTTCTCCCAAGGCACTACGCACTTTTCTCGGGATGGTTAGTTACTACCGTCGCTTTATCCCACAGTGTGCTCATATCGTGACCCCCTTGACTGATATGCTTAAAGGGAAATGCAAGTCTTTGGTGTTCACTAAGGAAGCCTCGACAGCTTTTGCAGCTATCAAGAAAGCTATTGCTGACGCCACAATGTTGGTCCATCTAGATGTTCAACTTCCAATCAGCATCTCCGTAGATGCCTCTAATACTGCGATCGGAGCCGTCCTACAACAGCGTATGGCTAATGTATGGCTACCGATTGCTTTCTTTTCACGTAAACTTACCGCATGCGAATCTCGATACAGCACATTCGGTAGGGAACTTCTCGCTGTCTATGCTGCTGTCAAGCATTTTCGTCACTTCGTGGAAGGCCGGCAATTTACGGTATTTACCGACCATAAGCCATTGACGTACGCCCTCCACACTACTTCAGACCGGTATTCACCGCGAGAATCACGCCATTTAGACTATATTTCCCAGTTCACTTCTGATATCCAGCACGTTTCTGGATCGGATAACGCGGTAGCAGACGCTTTGTCTCGCGTATGTGCTACGTCCGTACCACCAACCATCGATCTTCATAAAATGGCCGAACTCCAACTGAACGATTTGAACTTAGAACACCTGTCAAATAAAACCTCACTGAAGATAGAACGCGTCCCCTTGCTAAACAGTGAGGCAACTATACTTTGCGATATGTCAACTGGTACTCCTCGACCGATTGTTCCCACGTCTTTACGCCGAACTGTGTTTGAGTCACTCCACAACCTCTCCCATCCTGGCATACGAGCAACGGACAAGTTGATTTCTGCGAGATTTGCGTGGCCCGGTATGAACCGTGATGTGCGTCAATGGACACGTGCTTGTGTGCAATGCCAACGTGCTAAAGTCACCAAGCATAACATCACGCCGTTGGGGACGTTTGCGACCCCAGACGCTCGGTTCCATCATATCCACCTGGATATAGTAGGGCCTCTGCCCCCGTCTAACGGCTGCTCGTATTTACTCACATGTGTGGATCGTTTCACACGTTGGCCGGAAG